AATTCTTCTAGGTACTTGAGAGAAAGTTTTACTACAAGGAACATTTGAGAGATCCAATTTCAAATGGAGTGAGAATTTAAGTAGGTCGTGACTGTCGAGTTGGACGTTGGAATGCACGTACTGACTTTCTTTCTTCTCTAAAGGCGATCTCTGATATTGCCGTTTAGCGTGAGGCAGATTCCTCTTCAGAGTTCTGTTGATGATCATGCTCATCCTTGCGTGAGGCAAAATTGCTTACGTTTACAAGAGAGATGGATTCCTTTAATCATATCAATTTATTCTACCATCTCATGAGAACCTCGTCTGGTATGTTCTTTTGAGGTATGCGTCGTTTGTTGTTATGGAACACAAATTCAACAAGTCTCTCTAGAAGAATCAGTTGCTTATCTTTCGCGCATCATATAATTTTAACTATTTGCATGTTACATAAAATAAGAAGAAAATAAGTCAATTATGTTTTCATCGCAATAAGGGAGTAAACATGAAAAAGTATATTATAATGTAACACTTTTGTGCAAACCACATTGATTTATTTAGATTCTATTGCATGAATTCCTGGAATTGAGATGTCATTCGTTGCTACCATCTCATTCCTTTGCCCTCAGGAGCCGAAGATCGCGAGTCTCTCCAATTCGCCCAGAACTCTCTGCAGCAGAGGCCAAAGATCCCCCGCCCTCCGAACGCCTTCATGCTGTTCGCCAACGAGTGGCGGAAGAAGCTGGCCATGCAATATCCCAGCGAGAGCAACAAGGACATCAGCGTACGGTAAGTTTCCACACTTCAACTTTTAATTATTAGCTGTGAACGGATTTCTATCTAAATACAAATTTACTAAGTAAGCTAATATTGATTCCAATTTGCATTGTCTTTAAGTTTCACAACGCTAATTTTACTTTCCATATTTTGGGTTTTGGTACATATTTGAATAAAAGTCCGTAGAATTTCCATATTTCTTATAAAATCAATCCATACAACATATTCAACGTAACCCTGAAATTTCATTACATATTAAAAATGTATCTCAACAATAAGAGCTTCAAAAGTTTTAGTAATTCCTTAAATATTAGATTCTTTTTAAATTAGGGGGGGTTGATAATGGGGAGGCAAGATAAGAAACTAATGTTTTAATACTTGTGAAGAGGAGATTACTTCTCCGCCCTCTGAATGTCCCGCTGGATGAAGGGGGGGGGGGGCGAGGAGACGCAAGAACACTTGGATTCGGTTGACAAATGGCTTTGAATCTTCAATGGTCTATAGGAAACACATCTACTTTCTGTATTCACTACTCCCTCTCCTTCCCTCTAGGCTGCCACCAGGAAATCGCGTGATGTTATAGAGACTTGGTTATCAGAATTCAACTTATACAGCTTCTCATTGTTAATTACAATCCAGTCAGAATACTATGTACTGGTTCAGTTCTATTCAGCCAGTGTAAAATGCCAAAAGAAGCACAGTCAGTGAATGTAAAATTAGAAGTTACATTTGAAAATTGATGAAAGTGTATCAACTGACAATAAAATATTACTTAACTATAGTCATTTCTTAGGATATTAAACCACATTTATCTCCATATTTTGATAAAAATAACTACATGTATATTAACTATTTCGTGTATTTTAGTCCGTTCCCTGATTATAATTATTTGTATCTGAACATTCCTTAAGGCGCGTTTACACGGAGAGAGTTTTTCTCGTCTAAGGCTTCCGAACTTTGGCTTAGGAGACGTGTAAAATCTCAAGGAGAGCTTCTTTCTCGCGGAGACATGGGACGTTCACATAGAGATTTCTTGGAGGAGTCTCCGAAAGAGAGCAGTGTAAAGACTTGGATCGATGAGAAATGTATGTGCCTGGTGTAGATAAATAGTTATTGCAATAGAGAGTTGAAACTTTTGCTCTCTGTGATAATACGGAATATTATTGGTGTTTCACTTTGTTGCTCGTTTGAGCTCATGTCTGCGTTTTCTGGTCTGGTGTTCTGTGACGGGGTTTCAACGTGGTCGTTTGTGGGATTTCTGTTTCTTTTGTGGAAAGTTATATACTGGAATTATAATATCATATATGCAAAGAACTGGTCATGTATTCTCCTGTGCGCCTAAGGAAAATGGCGTACGTCAATACCAAGTCTCGTTTCCGAAATTAAATTATTTCCACTTTTTCTTGCTTTTTGATTGCGTGAGATATTTCTCTTGGAATTAAGAAATTAAAAATTCTTTGGAAGTTTTGTACTGTTGGCTACATATTCGTTGTTTATTTAAGTAGAATTTTTATTACTCATCCTTAATAAATTAAGAACTCCAAAAATACGTGAGGTGATGTAGAACTTTGTTATATTTTATTAGGATGACCATAGATTAAAGTCTCTCTTTAAGCCTGCCTATTGGTGTAATGCGTTTGTTTCTTCCTAATAATTAACATAATTCAATTATAATCTCAAATAATTCTTCGGCATCATTTACTTTTCCTTAGTAGTATATGCATTAGTTACATAGAGTTTACATGAGATATTGAAATGGATTCTTTCAAATCGTTTATACTTAACTTCACTAAAAGTTACAAAAACAAATTATCAACTTCGTCCAGTTTTCAATCCTTTACATTAGGTCAAAACTATTGTCCTCATCCTGGACTCCGACCACGTTTTCCAAAAAATATTTTTAATCGTCCGTAAATTAAAACTTGTTTCATTTTATCGTCTCTGAAAAAATGTAATGCAATTGAACTGGTAGCAAATAAATATTTTTTAAAAAAATCCTCTTCTTGCAATTCCACCATCAAAGTTTTATAAACTCAGATCTTCTTTTCTCAAGAAAACAAAATTACTCCAACTTGTCTCTTTCTTTTCCTCCACTTCTTCAAAATTGTGAAAGTGCCACAGGCAGTTGAAACAGTTGTCACATTCTAACCTCAAACTGCTCGCTGCTGCTTATTCAAGATGGCTGCATTGAGAGACATTTGTATCAAGTGTAAACAGCAAGGAGATACTTTTCCAGAGATATCTCGGGAACCAACTCTCCCTTGTGGTAGGAGACTCGCGTTTCGGGAGATATATCGAACCGTGTAAAGCCGTCAGAGAGAGAGAGTTTATCTCCGTGACGTCATGAAGTTAGGAGACTTTGTCTCGTCGTGTAAACGCACCATTAGGCGGATACAGCTCGCAAGCATGAATTCTGAGTACACACTTCCCTGAGCAGAATGTTCAGAACTATTGTTTTTGCTGATGTTTCGAGTCAACCGTAGTTAATATTTTTAGAGTTTGTGTTTTGTAGTTATATCAAAATCAGGGCGCCCAATACGAAACGGCATTCTCGAAGGAAAACTGTAACGTGCTGATACGTTTTGCTGAATGGTCTTCGGAATACTGGCCATTTTCGACTTCTCTATATGCCAGAGCTGAATTCTTGTCCGGGAGTAGGCCGCCAGAGATGTAGTGCTCGCAAGGGGTGGGGGTG